AATCCTTTATGCATTCTAAATGAAACTTTACCAACAGTCACGAACATACTTAAGTTGAGATAAAAACATGCCATCAGAAGTGGAAATGGCCTCAAAACCCAAGAAGTAGCTCAAGGGACCAAGATCCTTTAGGGAAAAGTGATGAGAAAAAGTATCAACAAACTTCAAAAATGGACTGAGAACGATTCCCTGTTACAAGCAAATCATCCACATCCAGAACTTCTGAATGATTTCCCATCCACGATATTATGATTGGAAGGAGGGACAAGAACCTATGTACGGTTGAGAGCAAGAGCAGCAAGCTCATCATCCATGGCTGAACACCATTTGGGATCTTTAAGAGCTTGAGAATCGGCAGTAGGATCAAGGGATGCGGGAAGGGTGACTATTTTTGGATTATTCCCTCAAAGTTTATTTTTTTTTCTTTGTAAAAAATAATATAAAAAAGCAACAATAATATAAAGACCAGTAATTTAATAAAAGATGGCTAAAAAAGATTTAAGATACATACAAAAAAATTAAGATGAAGTTTTGTACAAAATTTGAAGCCTAACTATATTCTATTATACCCAAAATTAAAAAAGACAACACAAATTTAAAATTAAATTAAATAATTTTTAAAACTGAAAAAACTGAAAAAGACAATACAAATTTAAAATTAAATTAAATAATTTTTATACACCATAAAAATTAAATTCAATAACATAATTAAATTTTTAATAGATTGATTTTATTTAATTATAAACCAAATTAAAATTTTAATTATATTTAAAAATTATTTTAGATTAAATTAACTATACCTCAAATTAATCAAATTAATTTTATTAGAGATTTAATTAGTGAAAAATTAAGTTTGGAAGGCTAATTTAAACTTAATTAAAAAATTAAAATTTTAAAAGACCAAATTTAATTTTTACAAAATCAATTGAATGAAAACAAAAAAAAAATCAAAAGTTTAAAGTCAAGAGCTAAATTAAAAAAAAAAATCATAACTAAGAATCTTTTTTGAAAAAAAAAAAACTGAACTTCTAAAACTTAATTGATTAAAAACATGGGTAAAATTAAAAAATCTAAAAGTTTAATAATTAATTTGTATAAATTCAAAACCAATAAACACTGAAATTCAAGTGCTAATAAAGTTATGAGAATAAATTATGAAAATAAGTCTCCCTAGATGAATCTCAAGAGTTCAAGAAGTGAGAATCATTTTCATTTATTCATCCATTAGCATCACCATTAAGTGCCAGGCATAATGTGAGATGCTTCTACTAGGAAATTCTTTCACAAAATCTTCAGAAACTAAGACAGCCACCTTTTACATCTTTGTCATCCTAAAATGATCCACACACAAACTAAGGATCGAACCAGATAAATTAAGTCTCACAAAATTTATGCAGGAGTCAAAGGACAGCACCAGCCACAGCATATGAACCAAAATATTCAAATTTAAAGCACACAATCCATGACAAAAAAGATGCACATGTAGAAATATTAATGGATTACATTTATGAGAGAAATCCTAGGCTAGGAAACTGCAACACCAGCAAGTTCCAGTTGTGCCACAGCTGCATTAAATGCATCAATAACATCCATTTTTTCCCGAGTAACAGCTTCATCCATTGGGGTCCGTTCATGGCTGAAAATCATCCAGTTGTAGATTTGAGAATGTTAGCACCCACGATAGAGAAACAGAGAACCAGCTCAAGGTTACAGGTTCAAAATACATACCTGTTTAGAAAGCCTAAACTCGAACCTAAGGAATCAATTTCTTAACCACCTACAGAACCCTATATTTGTTAAAATAAACCTAAGATGTTGCATAACAAAACTGCTTTTGGAAGTCACAATGATAATTACCTCAATATAACCATTGAGGCAAGCCCAGTGAAGAGCTGTATTTTTCTCCTTATTGGCAGAATTGAGATCCTGTTCAATGGAAGTTACCAATATTTGATAGGTCTTACCAGAGCATTTACAATCAGGATCCAATCCAGGGACAGAAAAAAAAAAAAATACATGCTCCAATCCTTTATGGTCTATGTCAATGGAAGCAAAGTACTAATGCAAGAAGGAAAGATAACACCATAGAACATCTGCTGGTCAAGGCTACAATAGAACAGTATGTCTAAGTAAATTTAAGACTAGGAAAAGAATGCGGCTAATTTAGCTGCTGAAACCAGAAGAAAATAAGTTACTAGGAACATACGTCAAAGAATTTAACTACAAATGCTCTCATGAATATCAATTGTGTGCCCTTTCCACAGCACCGGCCTCCACCCAAAACCCCCAGCCCCCAGACACTTGAAAAGGAAAATCATCGATGAACTCTTGCCACTCCCTGACTGATAAGATACTCCACAATGTCAAGATGTCCATTGGCTGCAGCCATATGGAGTGCTGCTATCACAAATCAGTGAAGCAATGTCAGACATCCATTAAACCATGCAAAACTCACCAAAAAAGAAAAATCAAACTACAATAATATGAAGACAATCAACAATTCTCAAAAAGCCAATTCATCAAAAGACCATGTGCCCCTTCAGTTAGACATTTTGATTATCAAAACCAAAATTCTTCACATCTAATCACATACATGAAAATATAAAAAACAAGCCATATCTTTAGAAACTTATAGCAAGAGGGAATTAGGAACTAACAACACCTAGAACAAAATAAAAAAAAAAATGAAGCACGCTTGTCCTTTAGGAAGCTGTGTTTATTCAGTCTATTTGCGAGCATCATTGCAGGTTCGCTGACAGAAGCTGGTGTGGCTTGGTTATGGAACCGTATTTCTAACATGTATATAGCTTCACTTTCAAAATTTCTGTTTCTCTGAAAATTTTATGCAGTGGTTCCAGACCAAACGCTATTCTTGCATTTTCTTTGATATAACTCTCCCATTCTCTTAATAATAATAATAAAAAAAAAAACCTGTTTCGGATACATTTCACTTCATATTTTCACCATCACCTGTTTCAGATACATTTCACTTCATATTTTCACCATCATAAAGGAAAAAATAAAGGACAAGAAACAATGTTACATAACATCACCTTAACACAAAATTAGATACCCAAAAGAGCTACGAAACTTCATCTCCAGTTGCAAGTTATATTACAACATTCCTACAACTAGGAACCCATTCGTTTGAAAGCCAAATAGCATCAAGAATCGACTGGTTTTATAAATGAATAGAGATTGATTGAATCAGAGTTTCCCTAGTAGAATACCAATACATGCCTACATGGGATGAATGGAATTTGGAGAACCTTGTGCTTTAAAAAAAAACATATATAATACATAAACTTCGAAACAAGTGTTGCAACAACTGCCTCATGAATCGTTATATAAATGCTCGCTAACAGAATAATAATAATAATAATAATAATAATAAAGCAACAAAAGCAAAATAGAAAGTTAAAATAGAAGAAACAAAAGATCACGAAACTGATGATAACCTGTTCTGCCCAGCGAATCTTTAGAATCAAGAGAAACCCCAGAAGATGCTAAATTTGCAATATCCTCAATATCATCATATCTAGCAGCCTGAAAAAGGAAAAATAAAAATGAGAGCAATGAGCTAAAATAAAAGGTTTCCTTAAAAAAAATGGAGAATTGGGTATTGAGAAATGTTACCTCAAGTAAAGTAAAGCATCAACAGTCTCCAGTGTTGTTTCTATTTGGGTTTGCTGCTCTGCCTGGTTTGCTCCCTCTCCCATTTTTACTTCCCTAGAGTTCTGTGAGAGAGCACACCCCATATGAGGCTTCTCTGCTCCACGCTTCTTCCCTGTGCACAGCACCGGAAAAATTACAGATTTCATTTGAAGGCCATGTTGGAAGCTGGGCTATGAGCCCGGTAACGAGTTATGTTTTCAAAAGGACGCTGAAGAAAGCCCAGGAAAAGGAGCCAGCCAGCCCAAGTGCACACATAACTTGTGCCAGTATGTGGTAGCTTGTGTTACATTTGACAGGACAGGACAGGACAGGTGTGATGCGTTTGGTGTGTATTTTAGATAAGATATTACAAGCTGTGATGTGTTTGGTGTGTGCTTTGAATATGATTTTTTGGCAGAATTCTTGTCTCGCCACCGGAAGGAAGAAGCTTTTCCAATGCCATGAATAAAAATCATTATTTCTCAATTTTTATATTATTTATCATTCATTTATTTTTAATTTGATAAAAAAATTTATCCAATTTAATTAAAATAAATATTTGTACAAGAGGGCCTGATTGCAAAAAAAATGATTCAACGATTAAATTGTACATACCATAAAATTAAAGCTTTATCATTCATTTATTTTTAATTGGATAAAAAAATTTATTCAATTTAATTAAAATAAATATTTATACAAGAGGGCTTGATTGCAAAAAAAAAAAAATGATTCAAGGATTAAATTGTACATACCATAAAATTAAAGGACTATGATAGTTTCTATCTTTTTCATTCCCCAATTTTCCACCTTGAAATATTTTATCTATTATAACGAGATAGAAATAATCACTTTGTTATGTATATATTATTATTAAATATAATTTTATTTTTATTTTTTATTTTATCTTTTTAGTTTTTATCTCTATTTTATTATAAAATTTTAATCATTGACTTAATCTTTTTAAAGGATTAAATAACGCGTCTTTAATAAAATTAGATAAAAAAATTTATAGTTTTATAATTATAATCTTGAAGTATTAATCTAGTTATAAAAAATATTTGATTTTTTTATAAATATATTAAAATATATTTTTAAAATCATTAAATAAAAAGAATTAATCTTGTTGAGGTAGTAAATTACTACAAAAATACTTCTTATCACAAAAATATAATTTATATCAATCACTCGAAAAAAAGAAAAAAACAAAAAACAAAAACGAAAGGCAGGGAGGGAAGAGAAACGTGAGTGCTTGGAATATGCCCACACGACACCGAATGGTCGGGTGTACAACCCTATAAATTTTGAAACAAGGAAAAAAAAAACAAAAAGAAATACCCAACGCCATATTTACTATAAATCATTCACATCAACACCCAGTCTTCTTGGACCCTTCGATCCAAAAGAGGGTCCTCCCTCTTGATCTTCTGTCTTCTCTTCTATCCTTCTCTGTAGGAATCTGGACAGAGTCATTCTTTAGACCTTTCCTTTCTTTTTTATCTCTCTCCCGCTATGAATCCTTCTTTGTGTAAATTCTTTAGATTATATTTTTAATTTAGAAATCTAGATTAGTGCAGCAAAAAAAAAGACTGAGATTAGCTCTTATTTTTTTGTTGTAAACTTAATTAAATTAAATTTATCAAAAACCATGACATCAGTCATCAACATCGACGGTCACCAATCGCTTCACCCTTTTCAAGATCAGGTACCTCCTTTCTTGACCTTTTAGATCAAGTTCTGTCTTCTTCTTCTTTTTAACTTTTTGTTTTTTAATTTTAAAATTCTGGGTATTAAGAAGAAATTGAAGGAGTTGATGAATTTCGTGCTGTTAATTTTTGTCTGGTAATTGAATTCTCTGTAAACAGTGATTATGCTCTGATTGAAAACAAAACGTTAGCAATTCTTAGTAACTGATTCATATAATATTATTGCAAGTGCGTTGAAACCATTAATTTTGAAGTCCTGCAGTTCATTTACAGCTTATAAAGCTGATTTTAAGATAATCAGAGACCCTTTTGGTAGTTTTGGCTGGCTGGGGTTTGTTAGATTGGTTTGGTACAAGTTGGTTCGTTTCTTGGGAATTTTTGCTTTTGGAGGGAAATGGATGGTGTTTCTGAAGTTATTGGTGAATTAAATTTATTGGGATTTTGGTTTCAGGTTGAAATGGAGAGTAAAGTGGAGATTAGCGAAAGGGCATGTGGGAATCATGGTGGGATTTGTGCTATATGCTTGGATAAGATTGTGCTTCAGGAAACTGCTCTTATTAAAGGTTGCGAGCATGCGTACTGGTTAGTAGGATTTATTCTGATATATTATGATTTAAAGGTTGCGAACATGCGTACTGCTTTGGTTAATTTTGATGCACTTGAATGGTATGATTGAGAGACTTCTCTAGACATCTTGGCTTCTTGACCAGAGAGTCTTCTGTTGGTTATTTTTTTAAAATTCGTCTTATTTGTTCATGGAGGATGATACCTCATATATGTTTTGTTAAGATTAAGAACGTGGAAGCTGGAAATGTGCTCTGCCACAATACAAGTGGTTCAGTTTGAAAAAATGATGCTGGCTTTGATGCTGGCATGCTCTGGAATTAAGTAGTCTTGTATTAGGGATAACACGCAAAAGCTTGAAAAAGATAGAAACATATTAGTAGAAGTAAACTTTTTTCGGTACTTCTCTCTTTCAATGCAAAAAAGTTTCTCCTAATTTTGTCCAAGAGGCTGTGAATAAATATCAAGAGAATGTCTTAGGAATCATATCAGCAGGTGTAGCTGATGGTTCATCTGGTCTTCACTGACGAGGCCATTGTACAATGTAGGGTTCCTCCTTTTACGGCTGTGCTGCGATTAGTCCTTGGCTCAAGTAGTCATAAACTGTAGTGTGGTTGTGTAGGTCCTAGGCTTTTAGGAAATCGAAGCAAGAGGTCCTTGTGTAATTTTTCTAAAACCCAATTGATTTATTGCTATGTCTTGTTTCTCCTCATGCATGTTTGGCCTGCAGATAGATAGGGCTTTGTATTGTCACCTATGAAAACAAAGTGCACGGTGAAGCTTGGAATTGCTTGAATCTGGTTATTTCTGCACAGATATGGGGGCGGGATATCACCTATTGTTTCTGTGACTCTGCTGATGTGTTACACCATTTTTTTTATCATTCATGACACACGATGGATCCAAATTAAAGGCCGCCTGAAACTTATTGCGTCCCATGGCATTCACTTCTATTGCCTTCATTTCTACTGCATATATTATACTTCTTCCTATAATATGTAAGCTGATTCTCTACTTTTATGTTTTCTTCTTCTTTTTTAAAAGAATTTGTGGTGACTTGCATCAGTGCTATGAGGTTCGCACTGCATCACTGTTGAGGAGTAAATTTTAAACTCCTTTGCTTACAACGTTGCTTTATGAAACCTGGTTTATATAAGTCAGTTTGCTGGAATTAATAGAAGAGGTATGTTTAATTTAATTCGTCTCTGCCAGCTAGTATTAGATAGTTTCCAGTCACTTAAGTTTATTCTTCATAAAGCTTTATCCGTTCACATGCTAAGATTTGCACTCTTATACTTTGTCATAATTCATTCATGTGCTAACTACATGCCTTAACAATCCCAATTCCAGAGCTTCTGCTTATACATGAGTTCCATCTGCAAATCATGTATGAATTCTTCATGAAATGCAATGTTGAAAATTGTAGTTCTTACAGCTGTATATTGATGGTATATGAGGCGTCAGATATGAGTTTAAGGCAGTCTTACATTTATGCTCTGGCTCATTTCTGCAAGTAGGTTCTAACTTTGCTTTAAAATCATCTGGTCTCTGTCTTTGCAGCTTCATATTTGTTCCTGCAATTTCATTGTTTGTGCCATTTATTTATGACACTTGCATCCGTTCTTTATGCAGTATAAAGAAATGTCTTTTGAACATAGTTTCTCTTCTTAAATCCTTTATTTGTATAAATCTCTCTTTATCCTTTTTATGCGGAACAGATGTATTTCATTAGTTTTGAAGTGGGCTTTGCTGAATACAATGCTGCATGAGCTCTTTGTTTTGGTGTTGAAGAATTGCACAATGATTAGTATAGATGTGAGAAATTGAATGATCCACCTATTTATGTCATGGAGGATTTTTCTTCTCGTCTTCATAGCTCTGTTAAGGTGTATGCTTATATGGTGTTCCTCACTAAGAATTAGTTTCAGCATGTTGTATTTATTAGCTTGACATAACTGCAGAAGAATCATGGTTGATTATATCATATACCATGTACCAATTATATGTACCTATTGGAACCCTTGCAAGCACTGGTGATATGTTGATGATTCCCTCTAACATTGATAGTGTGACAAACTATTTAACAAATTTCAACACTGCATGACTTCAAGTAGTTAATATTCATTGTTCTTTCTGTTGTTTGTTTTGTGCAGTGTGACTTGCATCCTTAGATGGTCCACGTACACTAAGAATCCAACTTGTCCTCAGTGCAAACATCCATTTGAGTTTCTCAATGTTCACCGTTCTCTTGATGGCAGGTTTAAATCTTTTACACTGTCATGTGTTACACTCTGTATGTGGTCACTTAGAGTCCTGTTTGGGACAGCGTTTCAACTAAATTTGTTAAAAAATTTGATTTTTTTTTTTTTTGCTTCAGATTAATTTTTCATGGTGTTTTTGGATTGTTTTGATGTGCTATGTAAAAAAAAAAAAATATTTTGATGCATTTCTAAGTAAAAAACATTTTAAAAAGCAATCGCTACTATTGTCCCAAACACCCTATTAGTTGGGTAATTTGATCATAATACATAAACTTGGCTTATATAAGCTCAGGGAAAGTATTGCCATTTGTTCCCCATATTGCCAAAGCAAACCCTACTTAAGGTCATTTTAATATATTTTTGTTTTTTAACAGCATCCAGGATTACATGTTTGAGGAAAGTGTTTGCCTCCTCCGTCGAGCCTCGTGGTTTGTCGTGACTTTGACTGTGGAGGATCATGAAGATGTTTATGAAGATCCGGAGGATTATTATCCATATGAGTTTGAGGATGAGGATGATGATCTAGATGAAGTGTACTTGAGCAGTTTATCCAATCTTCGCATTGGAAATCGGAGGTGGGGAGATAATGGCTATGTTAGGGCAGGGCATCAAGAAGCAAGGCCAGTGTATCAAGCACATTTCAAAGACTCGGGGGCGAGCACTTCACGTGAACCTAAGAAGAAAGAGGCTGGAAAAGATAGGACTGGGAGACGAGCGAAGAGGACACTCAAGCGTGAAGCTGCTGACAAGGCTGCTGCATCAAAACATCAGCAGCATTTGGCAAGGCTGGGCAGGAAGTGATTCTCTGTCTATTTCTGTCTGTATTTCCATGCTTTTAACTCTCTGGAATAATGACATGGTAGTTGGATAAAATCTAGGAGATGGGGGTCCGTGGTTGGTGATGAAAACTAATATCAGGTTCATTGTTCTTTCAAGATTTAACGCTGTTTGATTCAACTCACAATGAAAGAAGTTCATTGAGCTTCATATTGCAGTTGCTTTGCTAACACCATGTATTTTCTAAACTTGTCATTGATTACAAGTTGACTGGGATTTGCAATATTCCAGAGATTATATTGCATTGTTTGCACGGCTGTTTTGGGACTCCAGATCGAGCTAATAATCAGATGGACGTTCCTGTGCTGTGGCATTTGGATCGAGTCACCACTGCGATTTCTGTGCAACAGTTCTATTTATTTCTGTTGTTATAGGTTTAACAAGTGAGTACCTAGGTTCAAAATGAATTTTCCAGAATCATTTGTACTGATGGATTATCTTTTTTTGTGGAGCTCTGTATCTCTGACGTTGATTAGGGCAATTTTTTCTTTACTTAGTAAAGAACTCACTTGCTCAATCCATGTTCTGAATTACTTGGAAAGATAATAAAATTAATTAGTGAATAATTTTTTTCATCCAAGTTACAACAATTTTTTTTAAAATAAATTTGAATAAACAGCTGTATGGAAGTAAAAACTCAAAAAAAATACTCAGGAAAAGACTTGTGTTTGAACACTTTTTTTCAACTTCTGAAGGGAAGCATTTTCATAGATTAACCAAACGAACACGTTTTCTGTGTATGTTGATGGAGAATTAAAGCTATAAATGGAAAAGAAAACTGGAGATAAAAAATATTTCTTAAAAAAATTAAACATAATCTTAATTTTCACGGAAGTCTCGTGGCAATCATGCCTTAGTTGAGCTTTCTTTTGTCTGCAGCAAGAAAAGTTTGAGAGACTCAAGACTGACCGAGGAACGTGTCTGGTCGGGAATGGTGGGTCCGGTGAAGGAATCTTGTTGAGCCTTGAGCTGCATTATTGCTCCTTGTTTGCAGTATAAGGCCCATGTCAAGGCCCATCTCAGTTTTCCAGTATCCGCCTAATATGTATTAGGAGTCACGACTGAGTTTTATAACTCATTTGTTTAACTTTGAAAAAATTTGATTTTTTAAGATTGTTTTTATTTAGTAATTTTAAAAATATTTTAATATACTGATATTAAAAAAAAAATTTTAAAAAAATATTATTTTAATATATTTTTAAATAAAAAATATTTTAAAAATTAACCATCAAAAACTATTCATGGAATCAAAATATTCATGAAAATAATATTTTTAGTGAAAAGGAATAAACATGATTTTCAGCGAGACATGCACCCTTGGGCTGCAACATATAATTAATAAATTCGAAGTATTTGTATAGAGTATTTCCACAAGAAGCGCATTTGATTACACCACTTGTATTGCTACAATTATTTTGTAATAATGACATGAATTAAAGCTCGATTGAGAAATAAGAAGGCTATACATTCTCAAGTCAAAGTCAGGCCAGCCATCATCCTTTCTTAACAACCAAACCAAACCTTTTAGGAGGAGGAGGATGAAGCACAGAGGCCCCAGGAGCCGAAGAATTCTAGTCACGAATTGCGTTCTTACTAGTGCTCGACTTTCTAATCACTGGATCAGGCCCTACACCAGCTATTGGATGAAAGCACATTGCCACCAACTTGGGGCATTTCAATTCCTTTGACAGATATTACTTGAGTGCCTTTTCGAACTAATTAAACCTTTTCTTTCTTTCCCAGAAAGGTCAAAAAAAAAAAAAAAACTTTGCATTTTCCAGTGAGGCATGAAAAGGGTTTTCTCAGTTTTTCGAAGAAATGAAAAACAATATCAGTCGGACGTAGCCCAGAACTTCTCACCGTTTTTTTTTTTTTATATAAGTTTAATTAATAGTGGGAGTCAAAAAATACTCCCATGATTATCAAGAAATTGCAAGCTGTGGACTTCTTTTCAGTCCACACGCATGCCGTCTTAAGTTTGAATCTTGCACTGGCTACTATCAAGAAATATTGCTCCCCTAAGCTAATGCGTGAAGACTTTGTAACCGATCATGGCAATCTCCTTTTGAACGTATGAATTCAATGTTAGGAAAGTCGCTCCTTCTTTTTCCACTTAATATTTTGGATAATTCCTGCTATCAATAAGAATAATATCTTGGTGTCGACATGAACTACGATTTGGAGGCCCTTCGTCAGGTTTCATTCAATATTAACACCTCCTGTCCTTTAAGGTGAGGTTCAATTTAATGATAGCAGGTCCAGCGCTATGGATGGAGACATGTCTTAGCAAACCAAGATCATCTATAGTTACTTTCGAACTCAATTAGCCATGCCAGATTAGACGTCCTAACATTAGCCCAGTCCTATCATTTCATTGTTCAAGATTAGGATTAACCATAAACCAAAGGAGCTTCATCACATCGCTTATACTCTACAGTCTACGAAGTAGCATTCAAGGGAAGCAGTTGCAAGGTTTGAAATAGTTTGCTGGTGCTTTAAGCTGTTTATATTGATCAGTTAACCTCAAGCTTTTCCCCTTGCAGCCAAAGAACTTTGCAAGGGTTAATTTGCATGCATGTGTAGTTGAAAGTCTGTAGATTTTCTCAGTAGCACTCAAACCTTGGTTTTTTCCACAGCCTGTTGGCATGGGATTATTTTTTAGACAACTTCTCCCCATAAAGCCTTGAATATGGTAGAGGGAGGACAGACGGGATTATTTTGTCTCGAAGCTTAGGAGAGCATCTGTGAGAGGGAGATAGGTGGAGAAAATGATATGAAAAATGGGACCAGAAAGTGGGGCCTCCAATTACCTCGGTGGAGAAAAAGTCCACTGGGAGTGGAAGCTGCAATGTCAAGCAAAGCAAAGCCTTCCAAAAATCTCAATCCCCCACCCACCACTTCCTATAGAAAAAGAATACAAGCAGGAAAAGAAGTGGCATATGAAAACTAGCCATACCATCATCATCAACAATATCATCCCCATCTTTGTTTTTTTTCCCTTCCTTCTCTTTTGATTCTTACCTACCACCTACATCCTCACCCACCTCTTCAACTTGCACAAAGCAAACTCTTTTATTCCACCGCAAGTCTCTCTCTACCTGTCTCCATTTTGTTTTCCTTTATGTCCAGTCTTTTTCTTGAATTCATGGATTTATGATGATGTCAACACGATCCAAAAAAGGACTGGAAACTAGAGAGAAAGGCTTCCAGTGCGTTATAAGTAATCAATCTGCTATCTGAAACAGCCCTGATTTGTTCTGTTTTGTTTTCTTTCCCTTTAAAACATTCTTTCTATTACCACATTTTGCGTTTAATTCCATTCATTTATCTTACAAAGCTTATTAAAAAAGCCTTCTTATCAAATGGGATACACATGTAGGAACAAGATCTTCCAATACATCATTGTTTCATAGATTGTTCTTTGTGTCAGCTCTGTTTTGTTCTCTTCTCTCATTTATCGGAGCTTTCTTGCCAAATCTTAACCAAGTAGGATATAGTATAGGAACTTCCTTGGAGCATCAAATTGAAGATTTAACTTTCTTTCGATGGATTCTTTCAATCAATCAACTGGGTTCAGGTATAATCCAAATTCAAACACGATGGGCGATGCAGATGGCGATTCTGAGTTCTGTGGGATTCTTGAAATATATGTTCATCATGCCAGGAATATTCACAACATATGTATCTATGATAACCAAGATGTTTATGCAAAATTCTCTCTAACTTATAATCCTGATGAGATCCTTTCAACTAGAATTATCAATAGAGGTGGAAAAAACCCAGAATTCAATGAAAAATTGATGATGAAACTCGCTCAACTCGATGCAGTCCTCAAATGTGAGATCTGGATGCTTAGTAGAGCTAGAAACTACATGGAGGATCAGCTTCTAGGATTTGCTTTGGTCCCTATTTCACAAGTTTCTGGAAAAGGAAAGGTGACGCAAATTTACAGCCTCTCCTCCACTGATCTCTTTCACTCTCCTGCTGGCACTATCAAATTGTCTCTCTCCTTAAACACATCTTTTCCCGTCAAGCCCTCAACAACAGCTGCCAAATCTTCGATATCATCAGAGGTCGTGCTTCTTGATAGAAAGGTATCAGAAGCTATTCTGGACCCAGTTGAGTATTCGAGAATTGAATTTCCTGATATCAATGTTGTTAGAGAGAATCAGCTAATGGTCTCAGAATATTTTGATGACTTGGGTTCCAGGCCTGGCTCATTTCTTCACCTCGGTGCCTCTCCGCAACCTGCTATTCATGATTGTGAAATGAACATAAATTCCTCCGAGCAAAATCAAGGTGGTTCCTCTTCACCTAGTGGCAGCATAAAAAATTCCAGTTTCTTGAGCTCTACGACAACAAGCCTGAGCGACGACAGAAATTCTTCTGACTCATTTGATAGGAAGAGTCGTTTAGGTGGTCAATTCTCAAGCTCTCTTAACGTTTCGATCACCACGGAGGCTAATCATAACTCCTGTACTTGTCCTGACACACCAACATCAAAGAAGGGAAATGAAATCCTAGACGAAAAGGAATCGGACTTTAAAAGCAAGGAGGAGGAGAGCAGGAAGGAAGGAAACACGAGTCCTGTTAAATTTGGTCAAGTATTTTCATCCCCCCTAGGAAATATCAATCTCGAGGCCGAACAGTCTGCAATGCAGCAGCAAATAGTAGATATGTACATGAGGAGCATGCAACAATTCACAGAATCCTTGGCCAAGATGGAGCTCCCTATGGATCTTGACAAGCTGGAATCTGTTGATCGTGGTGATGTGATTCAAAGTCTTAACAATCAACTAGAGCTTGAGAAAAAGAAAAAGGACGGAGGGCGAGTGTTTTATGGTAGCCGCGCATTCTTCTAATCAATAAACCTTTCTGCTGCATATGTTACCTTGCTTTGTCCTATCAGGAAATGGAGTTCAATTATCGGCTTCTTCAGAGGTTTTTATGATTCGAAATATTCTTACTGTTTCTTAACTTCCTTTTTTTTTCTTGTCACGACAATTTCTTCTAATATCTTTCATTTCATTAACCTTCACAGACGCATACCTAAGCTGTGTTCTGCTATCTAGTTGTGTGGGTGGTTAGTAAATCTTTGTTTTTCAAGCATTCGGGACATTTCACATGTTTTCAACTATGTAATAATAACTGTATCCGTATTGAAGGGTTCCCAAAGGTTTGTATGCTGTAGGAGGCGATCTTGAATCCACTAAGACATCTCTGCAGGTTGAGCTTACAGGATTTAATATGTAAAATGTCAAAACAAATTTATGTCCATAGAGAGTGACATGATTACAATGCTATATCATGAAATATCAGTTATTTGTTAAAAAGATAAATATTAACAATGATATGAGCTTTTGCATGTTTGAATTTAAATCTTCGTTTGGGGTTTGAGTTTTTCATATTTAAAAGGAAACTCTTTTGGAGGTTCTTTGACTAGCAAGGAAA